CCCCCAAAAAAACCCCCCCAAGGCCCCCCACGGGGGGGTAAAAAAGGGGGCCTTTTTCCCCCCCAAGGGGGGGGGACAACCCCCCCCCTCCCCCTTCCCAAAAAGGGGCCCCCCCAAGAGGAAAGAGGTGGGGGGTTTTTTTTTTTAAAAAAAAACTCCCCCCGGGCCAAAATGGTTTTTTTTTTTGGGCCAAAAATCTTTCGGTTTCCCCCGGGAAAAAAAGAAGGAGGGGGGTTTCCGGGGGGAAAAAAGGTTTTTTTTCAAAACCCCCCGGGGGGGGGGGGGGGGGGGGGGATTCCTACCCACCCCTTTTTTGGGAAAATGAGGTCCTTTTTTTTTAGTTTTGGGAACAACTGGAGCCCGGGAAGGTGCCCGATAAAATTCATATACATCCTTTGTTTCGCCCTGTTTTTTATTAAAAGTGCTTGGGGCTGTAGGGGTCCCTTTGGGCCCCGCCCCCACGGGGGCATAAGGGGGGGGGGGGGGGGCTACGTTTGCTCTGAATCTACATCACTGCATGCTGTGCACCCGGCTTCCCTCAAGTTTGATTTTTAAAACAAAACACGAATGAACGGATTGCAAAAGGGTGTCTCTCCTCCGCCCTTGAGACACTCGATTGTAAATAGTTTAATCTGTACGTTTGGCATTGAATGTGGTGGCACTGTCAATGCCATGTGGCGTTGGCCGACACGATGGCGGCGAGATCCTCCCTCCCGCACACAGCAACCGCTCTGGACAACACACAAGTAGTAGCACCGAAACAATCCACAACCCTTCTCTCCTTGCTTCCGTATGCGCCTATCCACCCGACTGCGAGAATGTGAAACATGGCTATCCACGACGACCCTTTGCTCGTCTTCTTCGGGTGTCCTGGTGTCCTCACCGGTCTCCTGTCTTTGTCCCTTTGGCCGTCCATGGCTCGCTGCTTTTGCAAGAGCCAGAGGTCGCGGTCTTGCTCTCTCTCGTTTTACGATGGAAGGCGCCCACCAATCTGAGGCTCTAAACTATAAGCAAACCTCAACCCTAGGAAGAAGTAGCAGGAGACCCTGGCGATACCGCCAACAAACCCTTGCTATTCTCTCCCAGCGTTGACGCTGCGGAGAGAGAGGCTGACTCGCCAGCCGCCTCCACTTTTTGCCTCCAGGAGGGGGGTCCACCACTGAGAATTGGTAGGGGGGAGAGGAGGCGGCGGGATTCACGATTTTTGTTTCTTCGCTCACGCACGTCTCCTGTTCTCGCTCCTACTTCACGACACAGCCACAATCTCCTCCCTAGTCGGCGCGCAGCTCTACGCTCCGCGATCCACAGGGGCAGTCTTTGGTCGGATCCTTGCTGTTTTCGGGGCTCGAGGGCTGTGCCCGCGTGCTCCGCGAGCCAGAAGTGCCAACGAAAAGGTCGGAGTTGAACCTTGTTGGAGAGTCGAGTCACCTGTCCTCTGCAGTAGTGTCAGGTGGCAGACGGCGGCGCGGGATAAAAAATGGAGGCGATCGAGCTGCTGGGGGGGATGGTGAACAGCGTGCTGGAGTTCCCGCTGGTTGGGTTCCTGGGTCGGCTGGTACCCGTGGGTGGGAGCGAAGCCGGGCAGCAGGTTAGCGTCTCCTGTTTTTTATCAACGCACCACTTGTTGTTTAGCCCTCGACGCCGGCGGTGTTTTTCTCTTCTCTCACGCAAGAATTTGACGATTTTCCGTAATGATCTGAGTTACCTTGTTCTCGTCCCCTCTGGCGGTATGCATAGTAGATGATCCTACAAAATGTAGCCTCCGTCGCCCCGCCGTCATGTAAGGATACGGGCGGAAGAAATGACTGCGTGATTATGACTGCCACATTTTTGACGACATGAGTGACGACGACAAAAGCCGTTTTAGCGCCCCGGGGAAAGTATTAAGGAAAAATAATAAATCTTCCTACTTCGGCGCCCCTGTGAGACACGAAAGCCGTTGCACTTTCTCCACATCTCCTCTACATCCCTATCTCAAGACACTCCCAGCAGCCTCTCTCGATTGAATTGATCGAGCTGGCTAGGGCTGGATTCCGACGAGGTTCGGAACTGTCACCTGCGGATCCTAGCGTGATTCACAAGCAAATGAAGTGTTGGCATTGGGTGTTGGCCGCTTGGGAGGTAGTCAGTCGTAACATCAAGCAAGAGGCACAACGGACAACAATGGAAAGCATTTCGTTGATTGCGGATCCATTTCTTGCATCCGGATCGATGTTGTTCTCCTGAATGCTTTGCGCCGATGTCTGTAGTCCTCGTGTGTTTTGTGCAGTCAGATCGTTTCGGAAATAGTGTTGTGCGATGGGCTGGTTTTTACATGTATCCCCCGTTATTTTCTTTGGCGCGCACGCGCGCACACACGCTGGGTGTGGTCACGGAATCGCTTTCTACGCCGCCCCCCAAAAGGGTTTCCGCCGGCACGATCGATCCTTATCCTTCCTCCCACACCGTACTTCCCTCGAGGATGAGGAGGACCGTCTTTTTCTCTTAGAGACTTGTTGACTGTGATTCTTTGTCGAGAAGACGTGTAGCGTGATGCCGTGGTTCTTCAAAGCACACGCACACGCCCAAACCCCGTCGCAGCTTTTTGCCTGTAGTTCCTGCTGCGCACGCTGCTCCCGGCTCTGCTGGAGAATGCCCCCTTGCCTTTCTCTCTCTCTCTCTCTCTTTCTGGACACTTCTCCTATGCATGCATGCACTTCGAAGTAGTAGTAAATTCCAAGCAAATGAATTTCCAACGCACGTCCCCCCCCTGGAAGTAAGCGACAAGCACATTATGTAAGTTCCAACGTATGTACGTCCCCTCCCTTTTCCCCTTCCCAAATGTACAGGTCGCCACCGCGGTTGCCGTAGGCCTCGACAACCTCGGCTCTCTCTGCTCACAGGCCGGCCTGGACCGATGGGAGCTTCTGGGCCTCGCCGTGCTGTCGGCGATCACCGTCTACCGCAAGGAGCTGTCCTCCAACAGCGTGTACGGCAAGGGCGGCGGCGGCGGCGGCGGCGGCGGCGGCGGCGGTAGGCGGTATCACCGCACCGGCGGCGACGGCGGCAGCGCCGTCGTCGTGCACGTCGACGGCTGCCACGTGGCGATGGCGGCTGCGGCTGCTGCGGCGGCGGCTGTAGGTGGCCACTAAGCCCTCCCACCCCCTCCGG